TGATTAAATTAGCTGTGTTTGAATGTGTTTGACTTTAATATGATTCAATTAGCTTTTTTGAAAGTGTTTGACATTCATTTGATTCAAAAAGCTTTGTTTGAATGTGTTTGACTTTCATTTAACTTAGTTAGCTTTGTTAAATGCATTTGACTTTCATTTGATTTAAAAACCTTTCTATGAATGTGTTCGACTTTCATTTGATTCAATTAGCTTTGTTTGAATGTGTTTGACTTTAATTTGATTCATTTATCTTTGTTGAATGCATTTAACTTTCATTTGATTAAAAAAGTTTTGTTTGAATGTGTTTGACTTTCAATAAATTCAATTAGTTGTGTTTGAATGTGTTTGACTTTCATTTGATTAAAAAAGGTTTGTTTGAACATGTTTGTCTTTCATTTGAATCAATTAGCTTTGTTTGAATGTGTTCGACGATCATTTATTTTAATCAGCTTTGTTAATCGCATTTTAATTTCATTTGATTTAAAAAACTTTGTTTGAATGTTTTTTTACTTTCGTTTCATTCAATTAGCTTTGTTTTGAATGTGTTTGACTTACATTTGACTCAATTAGCTTTGTTGAATGCATTTGACTTCCATTTGATTCAATTAGCTTTGTTTGAATGTGTTTGACTTTAATATGATTCATTTAGCATGTTGAATGCATTTAACTTTCATTTGATTCAAAAAGCTTTGTTTGAATGTATTTAACTTTCATTTGATTCAATTAGTTGTGTTTGAATGTGTTTGACTTTCATTTGAAACAATTAGCTTTGTTTGAATATCTTTGACTTTCACTTGATTCAATTAGCTTTGTTGGACTGTGTTTGACTTTTATTTGATTCAATCGCTTTTTTGAATACATTTGACTTTCACTTGATTCAAAAAGCTTTGTTTAATTGTGTTTGACTTTCATTTGATTCAATTAGCTTTGCTTGAATGTGTTCGACTATCATTTAATTAAATCAGCTTTGTTTATCGCATTTTAATTTCATTCGATTTAGAAAGCTTTGTTCGAATGTTTTTTACTTTCATTTGATTCAATTATCTTTGTTTGAATGTGTTTGACTTTCATTTGATTCAATTAGCTTTGTTAAATGCGTTTGTCTTTCATTTGATTAAAAAAGCTTAGTTTGAATGTGTTTGATTTTCATTTGATTCAATTAGCTGTTTTTGAATGTGTTTGACTTTAATTTGATTCATTTAACTTTGTTGAATGCATTTAATTTTCATTTGATTCAAAAAGCTTTGTTTGAATGTGTCTGTCTTTCTTATGATTCAATTAGCTTTGTATGAATGTGTTTAACTTTAATTTTACTCAATTAGCTTTTAGGAATGCTTTTGACTTTCGTTTGATTCAAAAAGCTTTGTTTGAACGTGTTTAACTTTCATTTGATTCAATTAGCTGTGTTTGAATGTGTTTGACTTTTATTTAATATAATTAGCTTTGTTTGAATGTGTTTGACTTTCATTTGATTCAATTAGCTTTGTGGGACTGTGTTTGACTTTCATTTGATTCAATCTACATTGTTGAATACATTTGACTTTCATTTGATTCAAATATCTTTGTTTGAATGTGTTTGATTTTCATTTGATTAAATTAGCTGTGTTTGAATGTGTTTGACTTTCATTTGATTCAATTAGCTTTGTTGAATGCATTTGACTTTCATTTGATTATAAAAGCTTTGTTTAAATGTGTTTGACTTTCATTTGATTTAATTAGTTGTGTTTGAATGTGTTTGATTTTCATTTGATTCAATTAGCTTTGTTAAATGCATTTGACATTCATTTGATTCAAAAAGTTTTGTTTGAATGTTAGACTTTCATTAGACTCAATTAACTTTATAGAATGCATTTGACTTTTATTTGAGTCAAATATGTTGGTTTGAATGTGTTTTACTTTGTTTTGAATTAATTAGATTTGTCGAATGCATTTGACTTTCATTTGATTCAAAGCTTTGTTTGAATATCTTAATCCTTCATTTGATTAAATTAGCTTTGTTTGAATGTGTTTGTCTTTCATTTGATTCAGTTAGCTTTGTTGAATGTATTTGCTTTTGATTTGATTCAAATAGCTTTGTTAGAAAGTATTTGACTTTGATTTGGTTTAATTAGCATTGTTTGAATGGGTTTGACTTTTATTTGATTTAATTAGGTTTATAGAATGCATTTCACTTTCTTTTGATTCAAATAGCTTTGTTGAATGAATTGACTTTCATTTGATTCAAAAAGCTTTGTTTGAATGTGTTTGACTTTCATTTGATTCAATTAGCTATGTTTGAATGTTCTTGACTTTAATTTGATTCATTTAGCTTAGTTGAATGCATTTAACTTTTATTTGATTCAGAAAGCTTTGTTTGAATGTGTTTGACTTTAATTTGATTCAATCAGCTTTGTTAATCGCATTTGAATTTCATTTGATTTAAAAAGCTTTTTTCTAATGTTTTTGACTTTAATTTGATTCAATTAGCTTTGTTTGAATGTGTTTGACTTTAATCTGATTCAATTAGCTTTGTTAAATGCATTTGACTTTAATTTGATTCAAAAAGCTTTGTTTGAATATGTTTAACTTTTATTTGATTCAATTAGCTGTGTTTGAATGTGTTTGACTTTCATTTAATACAAATAGCTTTGTTTGAATGTGTTTGACTTTCATTTGATTCAATTAGATTTGTTGGAATGTATTTTACTCTCATTTGATTCAATCTGCTTCGTTGAATACATTTGACTTTCATTTGATTCAAAAAGCATTGTTTGAATGTGTTTGACTTTCATTTTATTAAATTAGCTGTGTTTGACTTTCATTTGATTCAATTAGCTTTGTTAAATGCATTTGACTTTCATTTTATTTAAAAAGCTTTGTTTTAATGTGTTTGACTTTTATTTGATTCAATTAGCTTTGTTGATGACGTTTTAGTTTCATTTGATTTAAAAAGCTTTGTTCGAATGTTTTTTTGCTTTCATTTGATTCAATTAGCTTTGTTTGAATGTGTTTGACTTTCATTTGACTCAATTAGCTTTGTTGAATGCATTTGACTTTCATTTGATTCAAAAAGCTTTGTTTAAATGTGTTTAACTTTTATTTGATTCAATTAGCTGTGTTTGAATGTGTTTGACTTTTATTTGATATGCAATATCAGTGAGATATCACTGGCCTTCTCTAATAATATTCTTCATGTTCCAATGATCCTTTGCATTCATGCCCTTATTTGAACTTATTAACCCTTATTTTTTCTTATTGAGTCTTTTCAGACCTTATTATTATAAGGTATATATTAGGCCCAATGAAACTAATTAACTATTATCTTATTTAATCTAAACTTATCAACAGTATATGATTTTATTTGAATTGAACTTATAAGCATTTATATATTTTTTAGGAAATTTTGCAAAAAAAACTACCCCAAATACACCACTTTTGTAAAAAAAAAAAAAAAAAAAAAAAAAACAAAAAAAACCACCCATTTTTTACAAAATTAAAAAAATAAAACAAAATTAAACCATTAGCAAAACCCAAAACTAGTAGGAATCACCACCCCTCCCTTATTTCAACCTGTTTTCCGTCAGGGGGGGACCCACATAACGACTACTTTGTGATTTCTATAAATCCAGTAGCTCGATTCCCCCCCTCATCCTTAAACATCTTTTGTTGCTAATTAAAATTCTCCCAATTTTTTACAAATTCTCCCAATTTTTACACGAAATTTGTAGCAAAATCCCTTCAACATTTAGCGTAATTGAATCATTGACCAAGTTGAAGCGTGAAACAAGTAATTGAAGAACACCCTATGTTTTTGTTTCGTTTTTTTTAGTTAAATCAATTTCAGTAGCAAAATGTAATTCAATTGGGATTGTATATCTAGATTTGTTGTTGGAAATGTTACAAATTGTTAAATAAAAGTAGTACTTGATGTTATAATCAATCAATTTGGCATGAATTGGAAATTAGGGTTCTTGCAAAATTAATTTGGGGGGTTTTTCAAATTGATCCATTTCTCGGAATCGGTTGCTGATTTTGGGTATTTGGAGGTCGAATTGAGGTTGTTGGAATTGATTGATGTTGTAGCGGTGCTACAGGGGGCTGAATTGGGTGGCATTAGCAGTGGTTTGGGCTGCGCGGAGGAGAAAGAAAGGAACACGAGAGGGAGAAAGAAGGGGGAAGAGAAGAGAGGGAGGTTGTGGGGTGATCGTCTAGCAGCGCAAGGCTGCGTGTGGCTGGGTTAGGTGGTTGGAGGGGTCGGGAAAGTGTGGAGGCTGTGGTGGCAGCGAGATTGAAGAAGCAAGGGGAAGGGGTGGCTACCGTTGGCTGGTTGGGGAATTTTTTTTAAAAAAATTAAATTCTTTTTAATTTTGTTAATTTTGGCTAATATAATGGTGACACGTAGACCCTTTAGTTGAAAAACTAGACTTGATCAAGTTGAGCCCGGCCCGACCCGACTCGATTTTGGGCGGACTTTGGGCAGTTTTTTTTCGGCTCGAAATCGGGTCTGGCCTCGCGTGGCCCGTTTTTTAAAAATTTTTGGGCGGGCTTGAGAAATCGATTTTATGCAATTTTAGTTGATTTTTTTGGTCCGGCCCGAGAAGCCCGCACAACCCGCCTAGTTTGGGCACACATTTTTTACCCCGAAGTTTGGCCCAACCCATCCTGACCCTTTGAATGGGCAGATTTTTTTTTTTACCTTGGCCGGCCCAAACCCGACCAGGCCCGCCCAATGATCACTTCTGTGAAAAACAGATCGGAATTACAGGTAGTTTTTTTTTTTACAAAAGTGGTGTATTTAAGGGTGGTTTTTGTACAAAATTTTCAATTTTTATTTCAACTTATTTTACCTGAAATGAGTAAAGATAAGATGAGGAAAACAAAACATAACAATCCATTGAAACCATAAAAGTTTTCGTGACTCAAACTTTTTAATTGGTAAAAATATAAAATGAATAAGGTAAAACAAATCGAGCATATGACTTGATCAACTTTAAATCCAACCCAAATAACCGAATTGACATCTTTGCATATGATACATCTCATAAGAGTCATAACCCCAAAATCCTAAAACTCTCTACTAGTTCATTGGTTAGGGTTCGGCATCAACACTTGACTGTTGAAACCATTCTCCTCTCTCATCTCTCTCAACCCTCCCTTGTATAGAGGGAAGGCGCTCGATCACATACTTTCAGGTGCTACTTAATTTTCCTCAACATCTTCACATGCTAATCATCCTTTATCTTCAATCAAAGGTTAATCAAATTAAGCATGATTTTCCTACCTTTTTATTGCTTTTAATTTGTTTTATATGAATTTTATTGTGCTCTGATTAATCAATTATATCAAATTCAATTAGCTTAGTTTGCTAATTGGGTTTCTTCCATTTTTTTGTTTGTACAGATTATTTTTTCTTTTGGATTGTGTTGTCATAATTTTTGCTAATTGGGTTTCTTCCATTTTTTTTGGTTGCACAGATTATTTTGCTATTAGATTGTGTTGTGATAGATTCTGAACATAATCCAAAAACCCCATTAAAGAAGGAAGAACCAGAAGTGAGAAATTGTGATGGGAAGAGATTTATCTCGGTCGCCGTCGAATTATAGGCGTAGTAGAAAAAGTCATAGGGGACGAAGCCCGTCGCCTTATAGCAGGTGACCCCGTTCAATCCCTCCCCGAAAACCCCCTCCCCATAATCACCATTTTTGTAGGTTTAAATTTTGGATTGATCATACTGTTATTGCCTTATTGGTGAATGTAGCTTAATTTGTGATGGAGAGTGTTTTTCAAAACAAAACTGTATATCACAACCTTTTTCGAGTTTTGTGGGTATTTTTTTTGGGGGGGTATGAATGATTTTTCTTAAGGGTTACTTATTGTGCCTTTATATGTATATTTGAGAGGTGTTTCGAGGGTGGAGCTTATGGACCAATCGTCTCTGGGATTGAAATACTAGATATATATATGAATCGTGGCGCTGCCCTTCTTAAAATAATGGAGATATGGTCATTAGAATCGAGCCAGGGTGCAAGTATGTATAATGTCAAAATGTAATTTAAGTTTTCAAACTACTTTTTGTTTAATATGTTCAGTGGAGCTTAACTAGAGAGTAGGCATGGAACTTAGTCTTAGTGCTTGCTTGGATGACAAAAGGAAACCGGGAATTGGACTTTTTTAGGAAGTTGAAAAGATGATGTTGTTTGGTTGTTTAAAACATGGTAATTTGAACTTTCTAGAAATTATATTTCCCACAAATTGGAGGAAGTACCTACCTTAAAATTCCCATTGGAAGTTAAACTTCCCATGATCAACCAAACAAAACTTAGCATTTCCTAGGATCCTAGTATTTGCTAAAACTTTCTAGGAAAAGCTGTATCCTATATTCAACCAAACAAGCACTTATATAAAAGCTATTTTCACAAGAGGTTGAGCTTATTCAGTGTTCGTTTGTTCTTCAGTTCTTGTTTACCTTTTTTTGTTGAATCAACTATTTCCCTTTTGATAGATCCGTGTTAATATCTTAACATGATGATTAGAATGTTATATTTAGGTTGAAATACCATTGCTGAGGCTATATGATTGCTGTGTTGTGTTCCCTGTTTATTATGAGTTACATAGTAACTGGAAAAAATAGTTGCAGAGCTTCCACGTTCTCCTATATAGGTATTATTGTCTTGTTTTTGATTTTTTGAGATTTCTTGCATTATTGGTTACTGCTGGCTGTGTAATTTGTCCAGTAATTTTCAGTTTTGCTTAATAAAGGTCAATCCTGTCATTTGCTTTCCTAGTTGTGAAGATTGTCCTTCTCCTTTTAAAGGAGAGTTAATTGGTAGAATGTTCTAAGAATAGGACACAATGCTTTCTTTGTAAGTCTTGAGAGAAATTGCTTCCCATTATTGGGAGGTGAGCAGGTAATATGTGCTGCTGGCTTTACTTTGTTCACCATTGTGATTAGCGACATCATGTGATTAAAGATGGAGCACCACAAAGATTTTTGTTTACATTTTATTGAGGTAATGACAAGTGCTTTTTGGAATAATCGTGGTTGGGAGTGCCGGCACCTTTATTCTTCATCTAGTATTGCAGCATTTGCAGGCATTAGATTTTCTCTCAACAGTCTTCCTTTTATCCTACAGAAGAAAAAGTTCTATCTCCCCTCGTCGCCACAAAAATCGTTCTCGCACCCCAAGGCGTCATAGAAGTCGTTCTGCATCACCTAGACGCTATAGACGGCGACGAAGTAACAGCACTTCGTTGTCTCCAGTACGCAAATCTCCTAGTCCAAGCCTTGACTCAGTAGAGCAGAAAAATGCCAATGAGAAGTTGAAATTAGAAGAAGAGAAGCAAAGGTATATATTGAAATTTCTTCAATCAATATGATTTTTTCCCCCTTTTCATATGATAGTTTAAGTTCTAATTGTCATTGTAATCTATAGTATGTCTTTGGAATCTGAATTTGACTTCAGAGGTTGTATTTGATTCTGCTTACTTATAATCTTAATATTCTTGTATAACATTTTCTCGGTGTCTTCGGTTTGTTTATATGTATAATGTTTATATTTGGGTTGTATGGTATATTTTGATAGATATATATGAAATGTGAACTGAAGGTACATTAGTAAATTAGTACCCTTCTTCAAATTGATTAATCTGTTATGTTGAGTGGTACTAAAAAGGTGGAAATCAGAGTTGCAATGATACTACTCGCTCCTGTCTGTCATATGGTAACAGATCATTGAACCGATTTTGTAATCTAGCATAAATTGCATACATAATATATCCTTGCTTATACACATACATACTCCCTCTGTTTTTAAATACTTGCTCCACTTTCCTTTTGCGGCCATTTTTAAATACTTGCTCCATTTCTTTTTTTGAAAAGCTTTTATAATATTTAATTCATTTCTTTCAACTAATGGGACCCAGTTTTATTACTTTTATATTCTCTCTCCTCCAATTTACCTTCCACTAACCCCACTATTTCTATATTTTAAAACTCCGCGCATAAAGAAATGGAGCAAGTATTTAAAAACCGAGGGAGTACTATGTATGGAGCCGCCAATCTAATGAATTGCCTTCCAAAGCTTCCCCCCACCCCTGGGCTTATTCCACCCCAAATGCCCCTAAAACTGTCTGAAGTTTATTTTAACTTTAATGGTGTTCTGTAACCAAATGTTGGTTTATTTTAATATTACGACGTATATAGTATTAATGAAATCACTGATTTATGGATGTCTATATAGTTGTTAGGGTACATGGTTTTGTCTTATGAAGGTTGAAAAACTTGATATTCATATTTCCATTCTTGATCCTTGCAGTATTTATGTTATTATGATTCTTCCAATTATTATTGGTTTAATTGTTTTTATGTATTGGTTGGTGGCCCTTGTAATGCTGTTAATCTGAAGTCTAAACAGACCATGAAACTTTCATTTGATGAAGATGTTATGTTTAGCTGTAAGTGTATAGTGCATTCTTGTTTTGCTGTTGAGGGAACTTCATAGGATATTTTGTCACCCTGTGTAATTCACAGATGAACCGTCCTGAATATTCAAATGATACAATTCTAGCATAAGAAGATGGATTCTTCCTCCATTTCATGATAACTGATAAATGCATATCTTCCCATTCAAGGAAGTTTCAAAGTAATTGCACCACTGCTTTATTTGGTAATTTGTAATTTGTTCACTTTATCTTTCTCATTATGTGGGTCCCTCTTTTTATCTCTGTACTTTTCCTTGTCACATCCTCCCCCATGTTTTGGAACTGAGGAAATGTTACTTTTTGTAGTAGGCCAGAGTCTTGGTTTTGAATTGGATTTGTCTTTATATGCTTCATAGCTGTGAGTAGTAGTATACACCTGTACATCTTTTCCTTTCTCCTCCTTTAGTTTTGTTGCCCTCTTAGGTTTGATAGGCTGTAGGCGACGAAACAATATATTTCTGCATTTAGGTCATTGAAAACTGGTAATGTGCATGTAGACAAGTTTCCTTTTTAGTTTACTAGACAAAGATGGTATATATTTTCTACCTTACTTTTTCTGAAAAAAATTAAGAATAAAAATGATGTGAAATGATTAATCCAGTGAACCACATCCACCATTGTGACGATTTGAAATCACCTAGATTAATCAAAAAGAAAGATGTTGGCTTGGATTGGATCAGGCTGATGTCTTGGTGGTCTTATGAACTGGTTTTTGTCTGAATTACCCACTTTATCAAGTTTGAATTCTTCGAAAGTATCGGGTGATTATATTTGTTTAACACAGATACACAGATATTTAAGGTTTGAATTTAAGTATTTTCATGATTAGTTTTTAAGTGCAGCAGGTTACTTGACATTCTCCTCCACAGGCTTTTCTGAAGGAAGATACTGCTTTGTTTCAACTTGTTATATTTGATGATCCATTGGCTGCCTCCTTTATCTACTGTACACAAGTTTTGTCATTGTTTGGATCTGGATTCAGTTAAGAGGTATGCCTTAAAAGCGTAAATATAATATAAAGGTCAGTTTGCCATTCATTGGTTACAGAATGGAAAGGAGAGCAACCAAAAAAACTTCTTCAATTAGTTTCTTGATAACTAACAGTAGACTTTTTTAGCAGCCCTGCCACGTTGTAGATGATGTTTGACAATTGGTTGTATAGACAGGCAAGGTGTGTCTGCTTCTGTGCCATAATGCTATGATATTTGTAATTAATACCCTTTTCCCCCTTCCCAACAGGCGTCAGCAGGAAGCTGAGTTAAAACTAATTGAGGAGGAAACTGCTAGAAGAGTGGAGGAAACAATTTGTAAAAAAGTTGCTGACAGCCTGAACTCTGAGGAGATCAAGCTAGAAATACAGAGGCAGTTGGAGGATGGTAGAAAGAAATTACATGAAGAGGTTGCTGCTGAACTCGAGAGAGAAAAGCTAACTGCTAAACTTGATGCTCGGCGGAAAGAGGTAAAGTAAACTGAAGTAATTAATTTGATTTTTTTTTTTTCTTTTTTTAAAAAAATTATATTATCTTTTTTGTGGTTCTGGAGTTCGGGGGTGAGAAACGTGCTTGAGGTAAAAAGTAGCAAGATTTTGCTGTCTATGTTAGTCGTTGATTAGGTAGTTGTACAATTTTAGGAAATTCTGTAAGTATGGTGGGTTCCAGGCTTCCAGCCAAGTCTCTCCTTATCAATAAATAGAAAACCGTAGGCCCCATATACTTGACAGTTCTCGCTGCTTGCAGGAACAAGCTCGAAAGGAGAAAGAAGAACTTGAAAAGATGCTGGAAGAAAACCGGCGGAGGCTTGAGGAAGCTCAGAGAATGGAAGCATTAGAGCAGCAGCGAAAGGAAGAGGAACGATATCGGGAATTGGAAGAGATGCAAAGACAGAAGGAAGAAGCTATGCGGAAAAAGAAACAACAAGAGGAGGAAGAACGGGCAAAACAGATGAAGTTACTTGGCAAGAACAAGTCAAGGCCAAAATTGTCATTTGCCCTTAATTCTAAATGAACAAATTTCTGATGTATGGAGAGTTACAATTTAATTTTATGCCTTCTGTAACATATAAGATGGAATTTTGGAGCTCAATTATGCTCGTTTTTGTTATATTCGTTAGCATGAAAATTAACATAGGAACTTCTTGTGATTAGGCCTGTTTAATGGGCTGTGTTGGTTCGGGTCTACAGGCAAATTCTTAGCTAAATCTGATCATGGAAAATAGTATGATGATCATGGCAAATAAAGCAATGAATTATGTATAGCAAATAATATTGAAAGTAATAAAGGGTATAAACAATAATAAGCCAGCTCCTGTTCTGTACACCCGGAGTGTACCTTCCTCTAGGTACACCTAGGGGCATTTTTGTAATTACGTTTAGTATTTAACATGTTACTCACGTATGATATATCTCCTTCATTTCGCTTTTGAATTTGCTTTGTTCTCTCTCTTCTTCTACAAAATTTATGCCCAAAATTTTAGCAAATCTTCCAAAAATTTATTCAAATTGAAGATTTAATTAACTCAGCAATAATTTAGATTTTAAAATTATTGAAGCTTTGAATTACATAATTGAACAGAAAAAATAATCAAAAGCTTGTGTTGCTTATTAATGGCGACATTGGTTATGTTGCTTATTAATGGCGGTATTGGTTCTAGTGCAAATGATCCTCTTCAAAAAGTCATTCAACAATCTAATTCAGGTATTATTTTAACCATTGATGAATTGAAAAAACTGGAACTGCAAATTTACTGTGAAAATTGAGCAATTATAATTTAACCATTTGAAAAATGAGTTAATTAAATCTAACCATTTCAAAATGAGCAAATAAAATCTAATTAACTCTAAAATGAGCAAATATAAACCAATTATTTGAAAATTAAGCAATTATAATCTAACCAACTCTGAAACGAGCAAATATAAACCAATTATTTGAAAATTGAGCAATTATAATCTAACCATTTCAAAAAAGAGTAAATAAAATAAAACCATTTAAAAAATGAGCAATTATAAAGTAACAATAAACAAGAAAAAGTAACCATTTTTCAAATGAGCAAACATAATCAAACGCAATTTTAACTTATATGTACTGTGCAGAATTGTGTAGAAATTGAGCACAATCAATAAGGACATTAAAATTCACGAAAAAAAAACAAATTACATCCAACAAATTCTTAAATAACAATTTTTTTTTAAAAAAAAAAAGTAACATACGTAACCCAGATTTCAACAAAATTAAAGTAGAAAAATCAAAATTTTGAAACAAAATATTAAAACAAAAATCGAAACAAAAATCGAAAAAAGGAAAAAATTTACCTAGATTTGTTGCAACTACACTTCATTATATTTGAAATCAAACATCGAAAATATAGATGACGAAAGACAAAGAATACTACATATTGAAGAGAGATGAAGTAGAGAGAAGAGAGAGAAACAAGGAAGGGAAGAGAGAGAAATTGTTAGAAATGAAAGTGTGGCGCGTGTAAATGATAAGTAATAAAAGGAGAAAGAAATTGGACAAAAACATTAAAGCTGGGCTGACAAAAAAACGATTATAGCCCTAGGTGTACTGTTCACCCAGGTATATAACACTAAGCAATTAAAGTAACCTAGCCATGGTACTAGTTTTCATTCTTTTCAAAGCAATAAAATAAAGTAAGTACCATAAAATAATCAAATCTATAAGATTAGAGTTAAGTTACATATTTCAAATGTGCATTTTGAATACTACATTATGAATAAATCGTTCGTAAATTTCAATAAAATTAATAAACTCGAAGAATTAAATTAAAATCATCCTCAAGAACCTTTTCACACCTTGATTAACACTGGATTAACATGTTTGGGCTCTCGAACAACCTTTCGTTTATGCCTAATATAATCCGTAAAAAGGGTATTTATAGACTAGTTAATGACCCAAAAAAGATAGAAAAGGTAAGAAAAATGGCGCGAAATGCAAAAAGAGCGACATGACATGCCTTCATTTCGCATGTCACGCAGAATCTTCACATGTCGCGCTAATCAATTAGGAAGGCGATTATATATAATCATAATTTTTTATCCCGAACTTGAAATAAGACAAATAATATATGGTAAGAAAGCCCTAGAAGTCTACTTACTAATCCAATTAGAATAAGATCAATATTTATTTTATACCCAAAATAGTGCAAGGTGTTGGTTTTCAGCCGAGTTTAGTATTTTATTGATATCTCCTTCATTTCAAATTGGAATTGGATTTTGTAGGCGTCATATGAAATGCGCCTACCTTCGCATAAATGTGTATGCTTCACAATCGTAGGAAGTGGATATTGACATAATATGATATGGACAATAAAGTAGGGAGTTGGTAACAAGTTTTTAAGGAACTTGTAACCATTTATGGATCATTTAAATCAACCACGAAAGAGAGGGTGCAGGGATGATGGTACGAAATTGAATTAAGAAGACAATTTGCTCGTACAAGCTTCTACTCAATTCCTATAGCGACATGTATTAGTTGCGATCAAAAGACACACAAATAACGGTTCAATTTCTTTTAGACGATGTAAAGCTTTGATATACAGTTTCTATTGTTCTTAGCTCTACTTCTAATCATATTCAAGTAATTCGAAGTCTAAAACAAGATCTGAAGGATCTACCTTGCTTTTTACTCAAGGTGTGAAGGTAAATAACAAAGGTGATATTGACAACGGGTGAAACTAGAGTCGTTAGGATAGCCTTCCCAAGTCAACCAAATTTATAAACCAAACCTACTTCTAGTATAGGGGAAAGTCCAAGTCGAACCACAAGGAATGGAGGGTCTATCGCTATAGTCTATGCGTCAAGCTACCTCGAAGCAAGTGTGAATGTATTGTGAACTAAGCTAATCAAACAAAACAAGTAATGGAGGAAAGATTCAATAACAAAGGTGCTAGGGATTAGGTTCCACATGAAATCATGAAATAGGTGCCAAATTGGGGGTAAAACGAAGCAATAGGTGTTGCAAGGACTAATGACAATTGCATTCAACAAGTTCAAAAGGCTATCTAGTCTAATTGTCAAGCTAGGTTTCCACTATGGATGACAAATTAGTAGAATCACAACTTAAACAAGTTGAAAATTAACAATCTCAAATCAAGTGGTTATGTCATCAAGATCATCAATGCAATCTAGTTTAGAATTCTAGGTTGATCAATCCTATTATGCTAAACACATGCACAATTTCATCAATCAATTTAATTACAACAATCTATTGAACAAAATCCCAAATTAGCAACAAACTACCAATCAAATGTGCTTCCCCAACACCCTAGCTAAGAAATCTACTCACTAATCATCATGAATTGAAGAAACAAAACAAAGCTAATCATGATCACCATCATATTCAACTAATCAAAGAGAAAATCAAATGATTAAGCAACTAATCAAGAAATTAAACCAAATCAAACAATTATCCAAGATCAAACTAAAATTAAACCAAAAGAGAAGAATTAAAGGAAAGAAATCTCACTAATATCATTATTAAGGGAAAATCCAAGCTAGATTGAAGTAATTTGAAGTACAAATCAAGAATCTAAGTGTTTCTCTCTCTACTTTGCACCAACTAAATTTGAAAAATGTCAAAAATGTACTAGCAAAAATGCCACGCCCCATAAATAGAAAGAACTAAGGTATATATAATAAGCAAAGCACTAAGCTCGGCCAGCCTGCCGTGCGCACGCGCAAGGGGGACGCGTGCGCGCGCCATAGGGTATGTGGCCATCATGGCTTCCCAGCCGCGCTCACGCACCCATACGTAGCAGCAGCACCATGCACTCACTCGGACCTTGCCTTGGTCCCTGTGCACATGCATGCTCCTCACCGACGCTCTCACATGATGCTCACGAGGGGGCAAACCTTCAAATCTCCATTTTTGCGTGTTCATGACCAAGAGATGCGATGAGAGCGTGGCTCAAGAGAGCCAAGCCATGAGTAGGAGCTTGCTTCTTAGCTTGATCTTTAGGCAACCAAATGATATGAGATCTCGTCCCGAGCATCCAAAAGACTTGGAGAATCTTCTAAAATAAATCACAATCCCCGAACAAGACCTACAATAAAAGAAAGTAAAGCGAGTAGAGTAGAAAAGACGAAAATACCCTTGAATCACAAGAAAACACAAAATAAGGGAAACTAAGAAACTAAAGCATAAATGAACGAAACTAAAGCATCATTTAAATAGAAAAGCTATAAATGAGAAGGAAAACGTCCTAAGTGCTACCATATGAGTGCCATAAATGACACTCATCAGATATCAATTTTTCTAACTATTTAATTTAAGAGAAGGTATTGGGTGCAGCAAGCTACACCAAAGAATTCGTGCGGCAAGTATATATGATAGGTATTATTTGTTGGAGGATATGTATTATTTGATAGAGGATATGTATAACTTGTTGGAGGATATTTGTTATTTGATAGAAATTACGTACAGTTTTGTTGGAGGATATATATTATTTGTTGGAGGATATGTACAGTTTGTTAGAGGATATGTAGTATTTGATAGAGGATATGTACAATTTATCTTTGATAAAGGATATATACAATTTGTTAGAGGATATGATGTAGTACTTGGTGGAGGATATGTGTTATTTGATAGAGGATACGTACAGTTTGTTAGAGGATATGTAGTATTTGGTGGAGGATATGTATTATTTGATAGAGGATATGTACAACTTGTTGGAGGATATGTGTTTTTTGATAGAGGATACGTACAGTTTGTTGGAGGATATATATTATTTGTTGGAGGATACATACAGTTAGTTGCCGCACGAATTCAAGCCGCACCCAATACTTCATGTTAATTTAATTAGGACAAATTAGAAAATAACACCTGCTAAGGATCCCGATCTTGATAATAACACCTGTTGAAAACAAATATAACACCTGTTGAAAACAAAGTTTTATTATAACACCTACAAAAATCCCAAAATTTTGGTTTTACCACCCACTAACGGACTTTTGGATGGAAACCGTTAGTGGGGCCCGCCATGTACACGTGTCAGCTGCGTATTGGTTTTAAAAAAAAAAAGAAAATAAAAAAAAAACCTAACCCCCTAACCCAGCCAGCCCCACCACCTACCCCAGCCAAGCCAGCCGCCGAAACCTCCTCCCATAACGCCGGCGACCCCCTTTCCTCTCCTCCATCCCCGAAAAAAACCCCCAAATCTTCATCTTCTTCCCCAAAGAACCGAAAAACCCTAGATTCACCCAGATTTCGCCGGCGCCACCTTCTTCCCTCTTTTTTTGACCTCTTTTTCGCTCTCGCCTCCGCCTCCTTCTTCCTCTCCTCCTCTCGCGCCGCTCTTCTCACCTCCTTCAGGTGGGTGTTTGTGGTTTTGCGCTATTTCTAAGGCTTCAGGGAGGAGTCTCGAGAAGGAGGGAAGTGGGTTTCGAGGAAAAGGTGGTGGTTCAGGGAGAGGTCGGCGGTTTCTAAGGCTTCGAGGAGGAATTTCGAGAAGGAGGGAAGTGGGTTTTGGGGAAGAAGATGACGATTTGGGGTTTTTTTTAGGGGATGGAGGAGAGGAGAGCAGGTCGCCGGCAGGGGAGGGATAGGGGAGGCTGGCGCCGGCCGCTAGAGAGAAAGGGGACTAGGTGCCGGCGTCGGTGCCGTAGGTGGGGCTGGCCAGGTTAGGGGGTTAGATTTTTTTTTTTAAAATTGTCATTTTTTTAAACCAATACACAGTTGACACATGTACATGGCGAAGCCCACTAACAATTTCCATCCAAAAGTCCGTTAGTGGGTGGTGAAACCAAAATTTTGGGATTTTTGTAGGTGTTATAATAAAACTTTTTTTTTCAACAGGTGTTAATATCAAAATCGGGGTCTTTAGCAAGTGTTATCTTCTAATTTGGCCATTTAATTATTTCGATTTATTATTTTTTTGTTGAAGTTTACTAATAATTTATTCATGATGTAGTATTCAAAGTTGCGCATTTGAAGTGAATATTTAATTTTCTTGGATTTATTTACTCTCGTTTATTTAATATTAGGATTATTTTAATTATTGCTAGTATCATGCTAGGTTGCTTCCAATATTATTTATCACATGTTTTATTTGTTATACGTGATTTTATTGCTTTATTTCCATGATCACAATATTGTTTGCTAAACAAGACTTGTATTGAAAATTACGACTAATAAGATTATGGACAACCAGTTTAGGTTCCTAGTAATTATGTTGTTTAATAGAGTGATCACAATTTACTAATAAATATTCAACTGACTTAGCATAATCTAGTTTTGACCAAATTGAATCTATGTTTTTATGTATGTTCGATTGCAATAAATACATATCGCTATAAGAACTGAGTTAAGGTCAATACGGGCAAATTTGTATTCCTGATTCAAATTTGTTCCATCATCCCTGAACCTTCCTTTCATGTTTCATGACCATATGGAATTGGCAATCTCATGGATTGTGAATGGGGTGTAACCTTCATGGATCAAAGATCGTAGTTGCCTTTATATCTTTCATTAAAGTCCATGAACTGTTTACAAGTTCGTTCCTTAAAAAATTGTTGGCGACTCTGTACTTTATGCCTTGTCCCTTTCGATTCAATATCAATTCCACATCTTTCTGCGATTGCCAAGCACTGCACATTCACATGTGATAAGGTAAGCCAAATCCTATGACTCCTACAGTCTCCTCAAAAACGGTGTCAAATGTTTCGGGGTTCTTTTAGATACAACTCATGTACGATTGCCTACAAAAGAATGAATTTCTCGGTGATCTGAATAGTCCCCTCCAACAATTAAATTAGTCACTAGATTTAGTAATGAAGTGAGGAAAGTAGAGAGAAGTTAGAGCACCTGGGTAATACTCGATTCTTTCAATGAATGTAACCTATTATTCCATCATTAAATGATGGAGGTATATATGCTCTTCTAGGATGGCATGCTCTTAGGATTTGTGACCTAAAAAAGTGTGCTCTAATTGGCTGCCTAATACGTATGTGATACATGTTAGGGTTTGTGCTGTTTTTGAAATTTAGTTCAATTTCATGGGCTTTTGAGCCTTTCATGATTTCGATATTTATTGGGTGCACGTATTATGCTTTGACCACTTAGGATGAGGAGGTTGTTGTGTGTTAGCCTATTACTGGCCACTTTATGGCTTATGATTGGTCCATGTCGATAGGGTATTTTACTCTAAACACCCCGAATTTCGAAAAATGGGCTCATGACCCAACCAATGACCTCCAATTTTACTAAATCAAGTACTTAAAAAGTTGAATTTTTTTTAATACGTTGAATCAATGGATTAAAAGGTTAAACAATACATATCGGATATATGTTTGAATACCCCTACTAGCTTCCCAATAGTTGTTTACCAAATTTTGGATCTCAAACTTGAAGAAGCAACTACATCTCTAATCCCTATAAATTACTAGTATTATCCATGCACCGACTTAGATATTTGCCTTATTATTCTTGTAAAGGCTTCCCATTGCATCAAAATCTAGGTTCAAAATCATTTAACATTTTTTTACATATGACTAAGGTGAAAATTAGATTACATGAACAAGAGAGAAAAGAATCATGAGTATTTTACCCAATTGTTTACTAAAGTGAGAGAGAGATGGTCTCATCTAAGGTTGAGTGTATATGACTATCAAAATCAAATACAACGTAAGTTAAGTTGAGAAAACGTAGATATTTAATATTGGCAATAAAAAAAAAAAAAAAAAAAAAAAAAAAAAAAAAAAGTTAAACAATGTTAAATTGACCCACAAACCAAGCTCGACCCACCCACGACCCGCCTAAGCCATGAACCTAACCTAACCCACTCACGACCTGCCTAAGCCATGAACCCTTGACCCACCCACGAACTCAACCCTAGGTTTTTCATCTTCTTCGACCCAGCCCACCCTACCCCAACCCAAGCCGATCCTTGTGTCAGCTTGCCCCAACCCATGACCCACCTAACCTTAACCCAACACACCCAACCCGCTACTCTCCTCTAAGGTTGAGTATATATAACTGTCAAAATCAGATACTTGTACGATGTAAATTAAATTGAGAAAACAAAGTGGTTAATATCAGTAATTATGTTAAGTTGTTTTTTTTTTTTTTTTTTTTTTTTTTTTTTTTTTTTTTGATGAAAACAGTAATTATGTTAAGTTAAAAAATAATGGTTTCCAACATTATAGTCAAATCAAGAAGTATATATGCAAGATTTGAAATTTAGCCTTAAGTACAAGGTTACTTACACGGGATAATCCCCTCAACAACTTTACAGGCACGTACATGCGTCATCGATTTGAAATATGTACTGACATAGCTTTACAGAGATTAACCAATGCACCAAATGTTAGAATTTTAAGAAAACCAATATAGTTACATTGTCAATTAGATTGTTGGGGCCTTTTTGGGTTGAATGTAAAGATGGGAGCTCGATCTACAAAAACTTGACGTCCATCCCTGGTAGTAAAATTATATTTCAAAGCAGGACCGATGAGCCATGAGACTGCTACTCCGCCAAGCAAGCCTCCCAACTGAAGCCACAACATGTCAAGCAATGTTGCGAAACATCATTAGTCAGCAAAAAAGAGATGCAAAAAATAGTTTCTTCAAGCGTTTTTCAGCCACTATTCAAACCATTCTAATCCTACAATATGGTTCTATTTTAGACAGGAGATACAGATCAAAGCAGCCGCTCAAAGCTTTAGCACAGTATTCATATTCCATTACCACTAACAAAAATAGCATATCTGGATAGTTTTAGAATACCAGTTTCTTAATAGATCTCTTATCATTGCTTTTAGTAATCTCAGCAACCTTATACGTAACTGTTAATGCATTGACATTTCACAGTTGTTTATTTTGAAAGGAAAAAAAAAAAAGAAAAAAAAAGCAGGAGGAGCTTCCTTTGAATCAAAATTAGATTGACTTCTGTCAATATTGTGGAAGGACAATCAAAATTACAAGCAATAATGATAATACTTACATGGCCCCAGTTGTCTATTCCGCTGAATGAAAGCCCAATAATCTGTAAAAGGAAACAATGTGAAGCCTGTATACTTTATTGTGCACAAGTAATAAAACTACAAGACTTTAGAATAGCGTTAAGTGACATGCCAATCTTAAAGGATGACAGCTTGTTGACAGGCAAGTACAAAAATTTGAAGTTTTGAATTGTTAACATTGGTGCCTGACTGCCTGATGGTGGCAGTGGTAGCTGTCCTGTAGCAATGTTGCCCTTGTAGCACTGACTCAGAAGAGAATAAAGTTTTTGACAGTTGAGGTTTTAATTTTTTAAGAACTTTTTTCTCAGTATTAATATGAGGGCAAGATAATGATGAATCGATGATATGAACTGAGATCATTCACAAATGACACTCTTGTAAGTGTGTTTAACAACAGTGACCTAGCTTCAATATGATACGAGACTTAACAGATTTGATACTTAGGAAAAACAATTACCATATTCAACACAATTACTTTTGCAATATGCTTCAAATCTTGTGCACCAGAACCAAGAAGACTTCTGTGCCTCATGGAAAATACGGCTACTGATCCGACCTGTCAGGAATCAGAAACTAAAAAATCAAAAGATTGAATTTGTAAATAATTTGTCTAACTACAATATGAGAAGAGCATAACAAAGGACAAGCTTCTGCAAAGAAACAATGCGAGATGACCTAGAAATAAGGGTAGCCCTAGATTTCTAGAAATTGAAAGTATTTTGACTAAAAAAGAAATTCATCAAACGGAGTACATTCCAAATAACATGCATTTAATTTATAATATTCTGAAATTCAAAGCAGAATGAGAAAGTTCACCAATCCAAAAATGGCTCCTGATGCACCAACAGCAGGAGCTTCAGACAACCAATAACTCATAGCAGAACCTGATGAAACATCAAGCAGGCATCAAAGCTTGGTAAAATTAAGCACATTTAATTGGAGAGATAAAGTTAAAACTCAGTCAATAAAGCCTTTACTTGTGATAGCAGAGGCAAAGTAGACAGTAAAAAGTCTTCGAGTTCCGCATAAATTCTCCACAGTGGGGCCAATAGAATGCAAGGAATAACAGTTTGCCTGGATATTAGAATATCTAATCAATCACAGTTTTTCATAAATAGACATCCTTAAGTCAATAGAATGAAATCATACCAAGAGGTGTCCAATATTTGCATGTAGGAAGGCTGATGTCACCAACCTCCACAACTGCCCTTCATCAATTCGACTATTAATCTGTTCATGATCAAAATTGCCAGAGAATTAATACCCTAAAAATGAATAATCTCATGACAAAACACAGATGTACAAGTTCACAGATACAAAGATCTAACCTTAGCTCCCCATAACATCAACTTACCTCGAGTGGCCATCTGCCCAACATAAAGCCTAGACAAACAAAAAAATGGGGGAGAGAATCACCAAACAGGGGTTAGGGGAGGAAAACACATAATCAGCTATCAGCCTATTACCTATTCAAAAAGCTCAACAATATATTCGGCACAAGTAAAATGTCCAAGAAAAGGAGCCAATGGAAGGAATGAAAGTGAAATCTGATACAAGTATCAGATTTTCCAAACTTAAATACGTTTTCCTTCACTAACTAAATTTCTTGGACAAAAATATTAGGTTTATCCTAATACAGCCATTACAGTAGTCAAGCCAAGTAAAGAACAGTATCAACAAGAATCTTTTTTTTTTTTTTTTTTTTTTTTTTTTTTTTTTTTTTTTGTATCAATAACATTGTCCAGCACCAAGAATGTAATGTACTGAACAGAGCTTCCAAGCGTTAGGCGAGCCAAAATGGATTTAAATTAATTACAATCCATGATTTAAGTGAATCAAAGGAAATTTACGTTGACAGTTACTTAGGACATTGCAACACATTGCTAGATGTAATTTGTGTCTGAAGGAGGAAAATATGTTAATCATCATTTACTATCATGAGTTCATGACCTTGTTTTTTTTTTTGGCAATTATCTAACCATAATTTGTGATAAGGTGAGAGCAGCCTTGATTATGTTCTTGCAGCTTGGCAAAGAAAGATAAAGAAAAAAGGCTGATTTGTTAGAGCAAGAAAGATGGTTCAGTTGAAAATTTGGCAGAACACCTGGACAAGAAGGGGAATAAAAACAACAACAACAAAGAATATTCGAGGGTAGAGCTTCCCTTGCCAAGATTTCATATTCCATTTTCTGAGGCTCTTGTATACAGGTTATATATAAGAGATGCTAGACCTTTCTTGATTTTTTGAATAAATTGTAGCAAGATTCGTCGGTGGCATAGATTTTTATTATTCTTTGCTCTTTAAGCTTATCATTAATGTTCCTTAGATGTTTTTTTATACAGTTTATTACTTACTAAAATAAGAACACACAGGATATCACTTATCAAATTAGATGTTCCTTAGATGTTTTTTTTTTTTTTTTTTTATTTTTTTTTATTTTTTTTTATTTTTTATTTTACGTCCAAATGGATTCACTATAATCTACCTTTGGCTGCTTCATTGTAGTCACAATAGGTCTAGAAAAGTATCTGAACTTCTTAATTTGGATATTTTTTTATTAAACTATGCAGAGAACCATGACATATAATGCCTGGAAATTATTCCATTTTGAAAAGTTGATATGACACTATCTCAATGAAAGGTTCAAAAAGTTTGTCCCTTCTCAATCCATTGCTTGAGACAAATTTGTGTCATTTATAATCAAGGAAACAATAGAATATTTATATCTATAAGTCTATAACAATATTCTAAATCCTGAAATGCTAATCACACTCCAAATGTTTAATCATTCACCAATCTTTCTTTGGTCAAAGGAAGGATAGAAAAATTGATTGAGAAAATAAGACACCCCATATAACCCAATAAACGATAAAAATCATTATAAAAATTGATCCAAAATGCATCTTCCTTTAAAAATTAAAGAAAACTATTTGAACACGGGCATTAAATACAAAGTTAGGCACCAAATTAATTTTTTATGGGCAAACATAATTTAGAGTAATTGTCTTTTATAATTTATTCATTCCACTATATATAACAAAAATTATTAAGGTTTAATATAAGAAACTGGACATAATAAGTAGTGGGAAATTCTTACTCATCTTCCAATGATGAAAGTATATCAATGACAAAAGAGCATTGTATTGACACATATGCATATAGATTTAACTCTACTTGTTTCTGTATATATAAATGTTCCTTATTGCCAACAGAATATAAGAAATATTAAACCTTGTTGCAAGATAATTAACTATACAACAAGGATCCATTGCATTGTCATAGTATTTTCAGATGCAACCAAGTTACATACTTCAAGGGAATATCCATGGTTTGCCTTTGTTAGGAAAAGGATGTTTAAATATAGATCTTTCTATGTTATACAATCCTCAGTTTGTTATTATTGTACAAGAGTCTTAATGCCCACTTTTAGCAATTTGGTGATTATATGATGTACCATGCCGATTTAACATCAACTGAAATAGAAGTAAATGTGATTCTTGAATTTCAAAGCTCTAATTTAGGCTTTCAGTGTACTTTAATTTCAAGCATTTTGACTCTGCAATATCCCTTTAAATATCCTAGCAGTCACTTATGCCTTCTTGTGTATCATGGTATCACCTGATAAAACTATGCCCTCGGCAAACAAAATAAATCACACCAAGCCATGTCCCTAAAGTATGTCTTCATCTATTAAAAAACTGCATATTTTAAGGAGCTCAAATCGCCTATAACCTTCATCCTATTTATGGAGTATAATGTTCACCCACTAATCCTTACTTGTCTAGTCTAAAATCAGATTTAAATAACTACTATCACTGGCCTCCAAGTCAATTAGCTTCAAACTGGGAGAGGAAAGAAAAGAGTTTAGGCAATAAACCAACCCCTTACTGAATTTGGTTCGGTTATTACAGATCACAAAAGCTACATGGGGCCAAGGTATCATAAATTTTGCCACCAATGCCCTCAAGATCTTGTCATTGCCTTTTCCAACTACAATGAAGTATATCTTACATTGAAGAAATAACCCCTATATATGACATATTTATCAACCATCTATGGGTATCCCTTACATTCAACATTCAAGCAACAGGTCAGTGATATTTCTTTTTATCAATTGACAAGCACATTTGGATTATATACTTCCATTTATTCAACTAAAATAAAGTAAAATATTTTTGTAAAAAAAAGCTATTTTATAAGGTTAATTCATCAATTTATTTCATATTAACTTTAGCACTCATGAGGCATATATACAACACTAGGATTTCTTAAATGTAGGTCAGATGTACTAACAGCACATTAATGGCAAGGAGTGCATTGGTCCAACGCCCTTGTAGAAACTTATTATTTCTCGGCTTATCCTGCAGTGAGCTTGCTTCCTTGTCTTTCTCCTGTCCAGATGATTTTCCACCAAAGAGACAAAGACATGAAGTACATGCTGCTGAGGCAACATCATCTAACCTCAGGAAAAAGCTAAATTGCTTTAGGTGGCAGCCACTCCTGTTAGCTGTTCCCTTCAATCCAATAACAAAAGCAATAGAACGAATCACCAATCTAAGGCAAATATCAATCTAATATTTCCATAGCATATATTAACAAGGAAATACTCTCTAAATTATCTGAGATGTAAAACTAGTAGCATCAATCTCTATCATTCCAGAAACAAAGGGAAGGGGTAAAATTACAAGACACATCCAAAAATTTATCCCCAATGTCAACCACAATCTTTCTCACCAAAAACATAATCACCATGTAAAGTATGTAAGATTTTTTTCACACATTCTAGTGAATTCATATGTCTAGGGTTTTGCTTGATTAATCAATTAAAATCTAAAATTTTGGTAGCAGTGAATCAGCCAACAAATTACAATTCACCAGACATGCATCATATCACAATTGTCTTGTAACCTGCCTCTTTTACAACACAACTAGGCATAGATACATTATCAGCCTAAATGAGGAAAGACCCCATATATTTTGGCATGCTCACTTCAGACAAGATTGAGATCAAATCAATCAATCAATCAAAGCCTTAATCCCATAAGTGGGGTCGGCTACATGAACCAAAAGTGATTATTTTATATAGTCATCCACAAAAAATCTTCCTTCAACCTTTGAAATGTGAAACCTTTAAGAAAATTGCTTTGTAAAATGTGAAACCTTAAAATTGCTAAACCTAGGTGCATGACCCTTTCACAGCTTTCGTAATAAAATTTATGTACAGTGCTGTCCACTACTCTACTCTCCACAATTAAATTGCCAAACTTAGGTGCATGACCCTTTCACAATCTCCCCAACAAAGATTTACTTCAACCATTTTTTTTTTTTATATAATTTTTTATTCTTGGCCATAAGGATGGTTTGTTTTCAGTTCTACCTTTTTATTAGCACTCTATAGTCCATATTCCCTCTTTCTTTTTAAGTGAAACAAATTAGCTTTACATAATTTTAGGAGCTTGAGTTGAATTTTTTAAAAATAATATGTAAGTGGATGAATTGTTTATTTACAAAATAAGTGATGTGAGAGAGGAAATAATGAAAAAATAAGAGCGAGGATCATAGACAGAGAGAAAACTAACAATAAAAATAATAAGAGTGTTAATAAGATTTCTATTTTTAGAATTGTTGCACTAAAAAAAATTAAAAAAAAAAACCCGGAGTACTAGGTATTGGCGCATACAAGATTTCATTCTAACAATCAAGTGAAAAGTGGAAGCTATTTCAACCAATTATTGTTAATTATCATAGATAGAATTCCGTTTGTTTAATGAATTAAAAAAGGTGGTCTTCTTAACATAAGACAAAGTAAGACTGAATCAGAATTGGAATCCAACATTCCAACATTATTTATGTTTGTCAGAATTATATAAATCATGAAGTATACGGTTCTTAGTCTTCTCACTTGTTGCTAAGAAACTCTCATAAGACTTGTACTCATAGTAATTTACTCCCTCCACTCCATTTACTCCCAACACTCTTACTACCTCCGTGTCATATTTTTTGCAACTTTGGAATATTTTATATTTCACAAATAATATCCAAAGTTGCAAAAAATATGAACGGAGGTAGTATTTCATATTTATCAATTGACAATTTAAAATATCAATATCTTTGGTTGCGTTTTAGTAAAATTACAAAAATTAGATGTTAATAAACAAATTTGACTGTAATTTTTTTTATCTATATAAATCACAATATATCTTAATAGAAGAGAGTGTGAATAGTGCCAAAATCCTAATTCCAAATGTAAAATGGAGTGGAGGAAGTATTATGAAACAAATTAAATCCACCCCCAAAATGGTATCACACAAGAGCTCTAAGCAAATAAAACGCCTTTTATGAACTAAAATGTTACCCTTATCTCACCATAAATTATCAAGAGAATTTAAATAAATAAGGGTCAACAAAAACAAGTTTAGTTAGACAAAATGAGTTAACAAACCATATTCTAAACTTGTTAAGCTACTAAGAATAATTAAATGCAATACCCTATTTTATAATCCCTTCGTTTTAGAATAATGTTTTTGTTTATGTAAATCGATGTAAGTTTTTGCAAATCTATGACCGCAAATATCTTTAATCTCACACTAGCAAAAATTATAAAAGTTAGATATTAATAATGTACTCAACTACACCCCATATGACTATATTTGTTCTTGTATATTGAGAGAAATTTAGAAGATTCTCTCTTATTTTGAAAAGTCAAAAGATACCAAACAGGAACATCATTGTTTAACGGAGGGAGTATAAAGGTACTCTTAGCTATTTGTTAACTTCCAAAACATTAAAATTGCCTTTGAGAATAAGACATAATACAATCCTATGATCAATCCAAAATCATAAGCAACAGATGATCAAAATTCATTGACTTTGACAATAGATTGTCAAATGTATAACAGGTCAATCTCAAAGTATATTCATTTTCAGATGTACTTCCATAAGATTATCATAATCAAAGCTTTTTGCTAAGATAGGAATGCCAATTAGCTACTGAAATCCTAACCCAAAAAACAACAACTGCCTTAATGAACCTAAATACGATCATTAGCATCGTACCTAAAACCAACAACCACAATACAAAATACCCAATTCGAAATAAACACGAACACGGGGAATGCTAAAATCTTTCAAAATGCTCAAAATTCAGGTAACTTGACAAGAGGATGTTTAAAAAATATTCCAACATAATCATTTCAGAAATCATATGAGGATAATCTAAAGAAAAATTGTGAATAAATTCAGAATGTACTCAGCACAAAACCATCCTTCCTATTTCCTAAGCTAGAAGATAATGAACCCAACTCAAAATTTCATTTCAGACAGAATAACGTAATTGCAAACCCCCATGAAATAATTTGTGCATAATCTTCAATATTAACACTGAAAAACACAAAATTCAACAAACCAATCTAAATTCTTATTAAACAATGAACCATTAAAGAAACCCAGAAAGAAAGTGGAAGAAGATAATAGAAGTGAGTAGCAGACCTTGAAAGAGGAGCGGAGGAGGAGAGAGAAAGAAGGGTGGAGGAAGCGACGGCGAAGAGCGACGACGGTGGTGGAGAAGAGGTGAGATTGAAAGCAGTGGTTGTGGTCATTGTTGGAGTGACGTCGGAATGGAAATGGAGACTCACCTCCTCCTCCTCCCAACCCGAAGATCATCTGTGTGTTTTGTTTCAGTTTTTTTGCTTCGTTTTTCTTAACTAGGAGGCTAACGTGTGCGATACACGCGACAAAGCGTCATAGGCTTGTAGCTAGCTACGTTCGAGAGTTATTTAAGTTAGGTCGGGTGATGAGAATCGATCCTAAGATCACCTGAAATCGAGAGGAAGCTCTTACTTTAGTTTGGTTTGGTTTTAAGTGACAACTTTAAACTAATGAGGAAAAATATGTACATAATTATTTTTAAGAGTATTAATGTCCGCCAACTATTATTTCGGAATGACAACCTTTCAAATGGCCATTAATGAGAAACAATTCTCTTAGAGATAATAGTACTTTAAAATGGCAAACATGTAAATAAATATATGGTTTTACACATGCGAGTAAAGACACTACTTGAAATAACACTTTTGGGGTAAAACTACTATTTCAATTAGTTATACTTGTGACATTAGGATTTACCCCTTGATAAATGAATTATATTTTAAATATTTTCAAGAATATAAATTGGGGCTCCTTCCTCTCTAGGAAAATTTATCAAATACAACCAACAAGTTATAAGAAACACACGTTGTTTGTGGGAAAAATAATTTACATGGGTCATTTCATGACTTTCAACATGAAGTCATGCTTCAGTTAAGATAGATGGAATCTGGTTCTTGGTTGTAATTTTAAATGTGGATGTGTTTTTAGGTTATATATTGCAAAAATAGACTTTTAAAGACTCTTCTTTCCCAAAGGTTTGTTTAAGCGATTACGTAGAGAGTCGTATATAAGATTTTGGAGGCCCTTGGGCAAAGGAATATATAGGGGCCCTATAAAAATTTTTTTCTTTGATGCAAGGGACTCTATAAATTTTACCGTATAATTTTATTTTATATGTTCTTCTCGAATGAGTGTCCTTTCACCAAGTGTATTATTCCAATAGAAGGTTCATTTAATTACGGAGTTAATTATTCAATGAACTCAAATGATCGAAATGTCTAGCTAGAGATTGTTGTCGATAAGGGAGAATAATAAAATTATTCTCACAACTTGCTCTTGACTGAACCTATTGGGTCACAAATTAAACACAAAATCAAACCATAAGACAAATTGGCCCAAATACGTCTTTAAATATAGTTAAGATCAATGTGTTGGACATTGGGCTTGGACGCACCAAGTCCAAGCACGAATTGTCTTTCGAAACAAACGATCGCAAGCAACGAACCAAGATAAGCCGAAACAAGCAATGGGCCAAGGGCCATGCTTGTGGGCTGCTAGGCTAATGGCAAGGCACTAGGCCTAGCCGAGGCCTAACGCGCGAAGTTGGGCAGCAAGCCAAGCCAAAGTTGTTGGCTCAGCCGAGCCTTGGTGCCAAAGCCAAGGCCCATCAGCTTGCTGTAAAGCAGCAACGCGCACAGTGCGCACCTAGGCCCAGCAACACTGCTGGTCGTGGGTGCATGTGTGCTGCTAATGGCAAGGCAGGGCCTCGTTGAATAGCTGCTCGTGGAGCCTTACGGCCTGTGATGTGTGCAAGGGCCGGACAACGTCACGGCTCATAACATGGGCACATAAGCTGGTTGGCCATGGGCTAATCTTGGTACGCAATTTATTTCCTAAGTAGCTTTCCTATTTCTGTTAGAATTATTTTAAGGTGGTGGCTATTTATTATTAATACCCCATAACCCATTAGATGAACATACAATTAATTGCATAATTATTGTTGACACCTTAAAAGTGAGAACCTAGATGTAAACACTCTACCTTGAGGGATCTTGTACAGTATATGTTGTTGCCTCTAAATGACCTTGGTTGTTACTTTTTTTTTTTTTTTTTGTTTGCTGATACCTTATTTGAATGTGCCATTTGTAATAATAAGGCATTGGGTTTACCTGGTTACATTTATATGGCAACTTTTAGTGCATGAGAAGACGGTTATACAGTGTAGTAATAAATTACGACGGGTGTGCTGGTAGCATCAGAAACATAATGCAATTTACACCAAAATTTATATACTAGGATTCTTCAATACAATGTCCTATTAATATCATCCTCTACAACGTAAAAATCTCTTTAAATTGAAAAATGGAATGGTGCATGAGAAGATAAGTGTTATATATAGTAAGAGGACAGGGGGTACTCGTCGCATCAGAAACATAATGCTATTTTCACCAAAATTTAAATTAGGATGTTTCAAAACATGTTCCTCTTAACATAATCTTCTACAATGTAAAAATCTAGATTAGCTTCTTCTTTTGAAAGTAACGCTTCAAGTACAATAACTGGAAGCCAGAAACTGTAATGCAAACTGCTAAAGACATTATACTGAACATTGCTACCCTGGTGTTGGTCTTTTCACTCACTATTCTCATATCGGCTTCCCTGAAAGTACAAAGCAGACATTTATATACAAATGCACAAATAGTGACAATGTAAATTGTAAGTTTTAATGATGATATCAGTGAACTTCCGGTTTTACCTGTTCTTCAGATACAGTAGATTCTCGTGTATGGCTTCCACTGCTGCCTCAAGTTTCCTTAACTCGAGCTCAACACCCTGCAAGAAAAAGAAAATTATCATACATCCATGCAATCTTGGGAGTATCGGAATAAGGTTCCTAATCTTGATAGCATTGCCAACATGAGTAATAGTGGGCCTCAGATGGACGAGACAAAAATGTTAATTTTGCACAAGTATGAGACACAAAATGTGAGGGTCAGAGACTCCTCAAATGGTTAGAAATTTTAGAATCGTAAATGTTAATTTTGCACAAGTATGAGACACCAAATGTGAGGCTCAGAGACCTCTCAAATGGTTAGACATTTTAGAATCATAGAAAGTTCTCCATGTATGTATATTTATTATTGATAATGGATTGATTAACGATACAAGTTGTGGTGGAAGATTTCTTCCTCCATATACACTATTACATAGCTATTGTATGTTCTATTCTCAAATCTCAAATCTATTTCTAGGTTCATCTTGGAGATCTACATAAGGTAGATTTCTTAACAAACATACAGATTCAACCTCATTCACCATCACATACCTTTTGCATGATCATCACGTTAAGCATCCACAACTGCCACTAAATTTAACCAACCACCAAAGTCATCCCACCACCACTGAAATCAATCTATTACAGGCACAACCATGATCATCCTTCTTCCACCATTGCCGAATTCACCTTTCAGTCAAAACTTAAGATTCTACCACTGAAAAAACCACTAATGACACCGCAATCAATAACTACCACAATGACACAACCACCACAAAAATAATTTCAATCTCTTGAGAATTCTTCCAATTTAGATTATTGATTGTTCTTTTGAACGGTTTAAATTCATAGATAGACGCAGCAGAGAATAGTAGTGGTTGGACGGTGCTTAGTATATTAGTAGAGAAAAGAGAAGAAAGAATTAGTGCTGGAATGGCACTCAAGCTTTCACAGCAAAAAGAACTAGGAGAAAGCACATATTAGTTACTTAGACTCAAGGTGGGCCAGCAAAAATTAGCAAAAGCATCATGTTTACATAAATATGGAGAGGAGCAGTTTGGTAATGGTCACAGCTTGGCCAGTCACCAGTGTATAAAAAAGCGTGCCCCAAGGCAATAAAGGTCAGGCAATTGATATGGGCAAAGCAGAGCCTTCTAAAAAAAAAAAAAATAGAAAATGCATTAAGAAGCACAAAAGGTACCTTGGAGAACATAAGGTGCATGACAGTCTACAAACCTTTATTGCCTCGATGCACCTTGGGCTATTCAAACACTAAGCACAGATAATTTACATGTGTGCGGAGTGGTGTCTTCATAAACCAGCACCTTAGTTTGGTTTTGGTATGTATCTTATGGAAAAATAGGCAAAGGATTGAATTGTACTTATTGATGATCATGGTCATGTGATTGAAATATACACTATGTTTTTTGTTTAGTTAAATAAATATCAGACCTTATTCTAGTAGTATTATTATTATATATTTGCCGAGTAAAAGGATAGGTTTATGTTGGCAGTGGGTTTGAAACAGTAGAATATCTTGTAACGTGTGGATTTAAATCTTTAATGTAATGTCACATGTTAATTAATTAGTCTCATGTTATATAATCTACAACTATTGCTATTTATCTTAAATTTTTACCACCTTTCAAGGGTTTGGTGTGTGATCTAAAGCTTACGTCATATGCACATCAAAGATCCGTCCAAAACCAAATCACCCAAAACAAGACATGACTCCGGCCCAAACACAGAAAGAAAAACATGAATCTAAACACGAAATAAATCGAACCAAACAGAGACATAAATAACACCCTTTACAAGTCATGTCTTTCCTCAATTAACACCATTTAATAGTCACACGTAGTTAGTAAAAGGTAGCCCTTGTGTAATCTCAACTTTTCAATCACCACTTCATATAGGTAAAATAGAAGTTTGTGAGTAAATGCAAAACTTTTTCCAAGTAAAGAAATTAATCACAACACTAGACATTGCACAAAGTTTTATATAAAGTTAAGAGTGGGGACCAAAGGGGAATTTTATGATATAAAGTATAGTAAGTGAAAATATATTTATTTGTCAATAGAATAGAAAAATAAATAAATAAATAAAAGGTAGTGTAAGTGGGGTTAGTGGAGAGAAAAATAATAAAATATTTGTAAAAGTAGGGTTAGTGGGAGAGAGAAATAATAAAAATGTAGTATTGGACCCTTACCAAATAAGGAAGGGTTGTAATTTATACAAAACAGATAAAAGAGGAAAGTGTTGTGATTCATATAAAACGAAGGGAGTAATATTTTACCCTCGCATGATTAGCTACGTAAATATATCTACACATTAATCTCAAGGCTATAGATGCTAAAAGGCTTATTCATCCAATGATGTTGAATCTTTCATCAATGTCCTCTAACTTGTGCGAGTTGCCAAGTTGTAATAAGCAAAATAAATAAAATATATATATAATAAATAAATAAAACCATAGCTAATTAATAAAAAAATATATAAGGAGAGAGACAAAGAGGTGCATGGAGTGGAATATGGAGGGGATTTCCCCATTAGTTCTCATATAGATCCTTTCATTTCACCAACTTGAATATTTTAATAGCAATGTTCTCCTTCAACCAAAAGTATTCGTATCAAAGAAGCCTAGGTACATCAATCCTTTATAAAAGCAACTTCTCTAAGTTATTGATTTTCCTATATCTTGAGAAAAAGCATATTTGAAAAAGAAGACAGAAATATTCCTTCGTGTATTTTATATCAACATCCTCTAAATCTGGGGAGTAACATCAGTGACATATCATTACAAGAATTTTAAGATGGTAAGCCAGAAATATTAAATTTTATACCTCAATGTGCTCTTTCCTTGCAACTGATTCCCAATCCTTTGCAGCAACTCCAGTTCTCCAGTCAAGATTGACACTCACTTCTGAACCTTTTGGATTATGACCAACCACCGAGAAACAAGCCAAATAATTACCAGCCTCATGGGTAGTAAATGCAAATTGGCCATGTGTAACATTTTTCTTGGAGTGAAGATCATTGCCATATGGTGATGTTACCTGCAGTAAAGGCACATATACACAAGATTTATCATTGTAAAATTAATACGTGTGCATACACTAGATACAATTAAGACTAATAAGTTTAAGTTTTTCTCTGCAAAATTAACATCATATCATGAACACATTGCTATTTTTACCGTGGGCATAACTACCTCCCATGGGCTGATAGCAAAGCATAAAATACTCATTAATTTAGACAAAATTCAACCCAATCAAGGACTCTGCAGCTTTATTTTGCCTTATTGTGACACCCAGGCAGCAGCACTCTATTCCAACTTTCAACAACGCAAATATTAATTATATTTGTTTATTTAATCATTTTTGCTTGATAATAATAATAATAGTTTGCAGTAAGTTCTCCTAGGTTCGCTGTTTCCACAGTATCATAACACATAGCCCTTATACTAAACCTCACATCCAATACGAAAAGTACAGGGAAGCGTAATGTTCACACAAGCATTTTTTTTTTCTCTTCAAACACCCAGATACAGAGAAGAATATACTGATCCCTAGAGCATTCAAGCCATTTGAGACTTCTGCTGAAGCAAGAGGCATCTTTGGTGCACTAAAAGTTTACTTCTAGTCCTAATTTCCGGGCTAGAATACAATTACATTACTAGGAAAAGTTGAAGATAAAAATGTATATATATATATATGACGGCCACGAGCATTAACCCAGACACCAATCATAGTCTTGTAGAACAGTGCAACGAAACCTAAACAACCTTAGTTAACAGTTTAGAATCCATAACTTAAAAATTTCAATGAATTCTCTATTCAAAGCAACGATCTAACTGATATCTCAAAACTCAATTGTGCTTACAAACCTCAGGTGGACCTCGGAAATTGTTGAATTTTTTTATGTACAGATTCCACCACTAAAGACCGGGAGTAAATGAAGTTTAAGCTCATTAGCAACTGATGCAGGCTAACCGCTCCTGCCCTAGCACCTAACTTATCTAGGTGATATGCAAACCAAAGAGGAAGGAAGCCAAGAGAAATTATGAGCAAGAAGAATAATAGCAGCAGTCACTGTGCAAATATTAGTAGCAGAGCAACCTTTACAAAAAACAAGATGAAGCTACAAGGAATAAGCTAAACCAGGTATACTTGGGTATTTCATCAATCTCCATAGGGTGTTAGGAAGCTTGAAGCAAAACCCACCAGCTGTAGTAACATTGGTACAAAACTACAGCTGATATTCCTTTGGCAGAATCAGGTCCAACAAGATGTAGAATAGCTACAGTAAGTTCACCAGGCCTATGTCACCTAACTTTATTACTCCTAGCCAATTGGATGATGTAAAGAAAGGATCATGCGGGAAAATTTTAAGTTCCAACAGAAAGGTGCACATTTCTGATCTGATTCTAAAGTCTGATCTGCTGATCAGGCCTGAGTTACACTTAAGTAGTTAAAGGGCATCACTTTAGTCATTAAATTCACTGCAGCAACAGTCATTGTTCATGTTATTAAATAACAGCCAAATAAGGATCATAATGATCAATTAAGTGTTAAACAATCTGAGTTGCACATAAGTAGTTATAGGCACCTTAGAAAGCTACCATTTTGGTGTTCTGAAGAGGCTTCATAGAATTAGTCAAATCAAAGGAAAATTTAACACAAATAATCCCAACTATATAGGGTTTTCTCATTTTAATCCATACTATTGTTCAACTATGATTGATGTATAAAAAAGCTCAAGGCGCGCTAAAGCGAGAAGGGTTATGCAGCGCCTAATGCGCACCTCAGTGTCCCTCTTTGAAGTGTGGCGCACTATATAAACAGTTAAAAAATTGGCAGAAATTTGCTTCAGGTGCGCCTAACCTGCACCTCGTGCGCCTAACTTGCGCCTAATTAAGCGCTTACCCCCTATCGCCTTGCGCCTAGGCGTGCCTTAGGCGCACTTTTTCAAACACTGACTATGATTAATCCTAATTATTGGGGGTATCTTCTCATCTTGAGTTTCTATTAACCTGTTTGAAGAGGTGAGCCAATGACATGGCATAAAATTGTTGCTTTTCCTATCTGAATAGAAACCCCTGTTCATTTATTTTAGGTTGATTTCTTTCTCTGTTTCAGTGGAAACTTAAAGACCCAAAACTAATCCTATAATATATGGCCCCTCACCATCAGGAATTGGATCTAACTCAGTCCTTTGCTACAAAATTTGGTTAGTAGGAAAAGAATAAGGGGAAATTATCGCATTTCCTAGGTAAGTTCTCCAACTCTAATCAAGACTTAATTTGTGTCCACATTCAATGTCTTTGCCAACCCACCAATATATTTTACAGCAAAGGCATCATCTTATACATATGCTCATAAACCAGAAGCCATCTATCACAGTGTAGCATGGATAATGCTGGGATATGAAAACTCCAATTATGGAAAAAATTACCAAAGAAACAATTTAACATTTCGAGCAAGACCCTAGTAATTTTCAATCCACCCACTTTAAAAATTTACTCACAATTGAATAATAAGTTAATGACAAAACTAGGAGAAACATCTAAAGTTATCTGTTCATTCAAAGTTCATAGAAAGGTTTCTTTAACCCATTACTTATCTTGAAGCGCCTTCAATAGGTAAACTACACAAGTATGAACTATAATTTGTGACATAGTGAATGAACGAAAAAACAGAGAGGTATAGAATGTAGACATGAAAGTTGATAAAGAGAGAGAAATAGAAAAGGCATTAGCAGCGGTGCAGATAGAGGATGATTTACTTAGGGCATTAGCTCAAATAGTTGCATGAGAGAATTTTTTTATGAATCGGTTCAGCAAGTTGATAGTCTACCTAAACTTATTTGAGAAGAGGCCCAACATAATTAAAAATTTAAAATTAATCTTAGTTAAACAATAGTATGGATTAAAATGAGAAAAACCCCAATGGTAGGGGATTAGGGATTACTTACATTAATTTTCTTCAAAAAAAAAAAATTAAAAAAAAAAAGAAAAGAAAAAAAACAAAAAACAAAAAACCTTGGGTGGATGTGAAGCTCAAGTTATGATGGCAAGCCAGCATCCCTCCCTCTCTATATATCTCGCTCTCTCCAAAGAAATTAAAAATTATAGAGTGGCTGAGTGGGGGAAAGCACTCAACTTTAGGTGTGATATCTAAGTATGGTGTTTAGGCTTTTTTTCAAAGGCTTAGGTGTCTTCAGATAGCGTAACTCATATAAGTAAGGGCATAATAGTTCTTGGGTTGTTTTAAGGTCATATACCCTTACAGCTTCCCAAGTTCATATCTGGATCAAGAACCGAAAATTAAGCTTTCAATTCATCCAATTGGACTTATAATAGGCAATATAAGCCCGACAGATAAGCATCTCCCAAAGCCAAATGATTATTGCATTTCTTGTTTGTCACCATTAATTCATCAAATACAATTGAGTTAGCCAGCTGACTTACGTCTATAACTTGATCCCTGATGCCCGTAGCAACATCCCACACAATAATTGTGTTTGCGCACACTAACAACTACCGATGATATGCTGGAAATCCTTTGCATACACAAAAGTCCAAGTACAATCCAATAAATGTGACAAGTAATAAACTTCAAGTCCAAGGCTAACTTACCAATTTTTTATACTAATTTCAGTCAGCTTTATCATTATTACCCAGCAGCTTAACAATCTAATAATACAGTCAATTAGGTAACAAAATTCACGAAAAATTACTCGTACTCTTACTTTCTAAGATAATAAGTCATGTAGGGGTGGTACTCGTGAATCAAGACCTAAGAAGCACTCCCAAGGCTAACTTAACAATTTTTTATACTAATTTCAATCATCTTTATCATTATCACCCAGCAACTTAACAATCTAATAATACAGTCAATTAGGTAACAAAATTCACGAAAAATTACTCGTACTTTCTAAGATGGTAAGTCAAGTCGGGGTGGTACTCGTGAATCAAGACCTAAGATCGAATCCCATCTACATCTCCGCCTTTGCGGCTCCCAATACACCAATTAAAACCTATCCCTATTAAGTAGAATAACGTAAAAATCCAGCTAACATTATTGGCTAACTAAAACAATCCTGAAATTAACATTCTGCCGGTACTATTGACTAATCAAATACCCAATCAAGACGAATCGAGTAATATTCAAATCGAGTAAATAACCATCCACAAGAACAAAATCGCAAAAATACAGATACCCAATACAAAATCGCATCAAAAATTTGAATAAAAATAACAAAGTCACAAAATAGAATAATGAATTGGAAGATTTACCTTGACAAAAATTGTGGGTTCATGAGATGTATGATCATCGGAAATAACATAGTAATCTGCTAAAACAACGACGTTGGTCTGAATTTCTTCAGAAACACATTTAGAGCCAGATGCTGGTAGATTTAGCCAAATTGATGTACCCAATTGCCAAAAATTAGTTGCCCAAATCAACCAAATCAAACACAAGTTTAATTTCTTCATCGTTTTCTTCTCTCTTTTTCTGTGTTTCTCTCTTTCGTGGGAATTGGGATCTTCGCCTAATGTGTTTCAACTGTCGTGTGTTTAATTCAATTTGAATGCAGAATAACAGGTGTTGCTACGTTTGTTCAACTCCAATTTTTTTTTTTGTTTTTTTTGTTTTTTACACTATGGTATATATATTTGTTACGACGAAAAATAATCTTTGGGGTGTTAAACACCGCCAACAATTTTTATCAACACCGCCAACATTTAAGGTGAATGGACACTAATATCCTTACTATCCTTATTGTATTCTGTATCATAACCCACAACCACCACTTCTCTCACAATCCTTTCTCTCTCATCACCTAATTCACAACCACCATACCACCGCAGCAGTGGCCGTACGTTGAAAGTGAAGGGTAGCGGCGATCCTACATTGGAGGTGAAAGGGCAGCAGCGGTGACCAACTGGTTTTGCCGACCACGACCATACCAGTTTGTCTTCCTTTTTTTTTTAATCATCTCCGGCGTCCACTACCGGCGCTCAAAACCGGTTGACGCTGCCGGTAACCGATGCCCAAAACCGTTGGTAACCCAGGCCAACCGATTTTGAGCGTCGATTACCGAGGCCAACTGGTTTTGGGCGCCGTTAGTTGGTCACGGTTGACCGGTTTTAGGCTCCGATCTTCACTGGTTCAATTTTTTTATTATAATTATGACTATAATTATTGTTGTTTCGGGGTTTTTTTAGTGTCCTGCGAGAGAGTTACAATTCCAAGACTAGATTCCAGACGCTTGTACTTGCAAAACAACGGAGACTCCGGTTGGGTGGAGTTCCGCCTCCGACGATCAAGTTAGAACGTGTACGGACGAAGTAGAAAGTGCGGAAAGTAAATTATCTTCTCGGATTCCGAGATCAGGAGTAAATATTTGCAATTAATGATTGCTCTATTTGTGAATATTTTTTAATGTGTCCCATGATGGGAACGTCTCCCTATTTATAGGGTTTAGAAATGCGTGTCGCCATCCTAGGTTACGGAAACCTAGGAATGGTGGGCTATCTCGAGAATTGGGCCAGGAAGACCGCCTATTTTCTCAAAGATTGGGGATGCCACGTGTTAGAAGGGGATGGTTCTCTGTAACCTCTCCTAAGATGACACGTGTCACCATCTCATTGGGCCACATGGCCCTAGGTATTTTTACCCAAAACATTTGCCCCTCACGGGTGTGATGTGGCATGCTACGTGGCGCCTGTGACACCTGTCAAGCGGTCATTGGAGAACGGTTTTTAACTGTTTGTCTTCTAGGAAAATTACGGGGATGCCCCTTAAATTACCTTTCTATAAATAGATTTTTACTCCTCCCTTTTTTAACCTAGAGACAGAGTCAACCGTTTTTTTGAGAGAGAAACTTTGACAACCGCCTGTATATCTTTCAAACAATTGCCTTGTCCCATTAAACAAAGTCAATATTGTAATACCCCGTATTTTTATACGTATTTTGATTTAAATAAGTATTTCCTAAAGTATTTAAATAATTCGAAATGGATTATTTATGGTGTTTTTATTAATTTAAAAAGAATTATTTTAATTAAAAATTTATTTTTAATTATTTAATAATCATGAAAATATTTTATTTAATGATTTAAAAGTATTGGGGCATATTATTTTATAAAAAGATAAATTTTAAAGTCAATGATATTTATGGAAAGTCAAAACACAAGTTTGACTAGAAAAGGGATCATTAAGGGTAGTAAAGGAATTTTAAGTAGGACGGATTGAGAGGGGGTATAAATACCTATCATATGCCTAAGGTGGAGTGCTCCCAAAGTTAAACTCTCTCTATCCTCTTATTTTCTTTTCTCCTTAATTTTTCCCCTTCCCCTTAATTTTAATTATTCTATTTTTAATCACCGCCCACACACCACCACACACGGCCAGCGCCACCACCACATGCCACACACGGCTGCCGGCCACCACCACTAGCGCACTTGCAGCGGCGGTGTAATACCCTATATTTTTATACGTATTTTGATTTAAATAAGTATTTCCTAAAGTATTTAAATAATTCGAAATGAATTATTTATGGTGTTTTTATTAATTAAAAAGAATTATTTTAATTAAAAGTTTATTTTTAATTATTTAATAATCTTGAAAATATTTTATTTAATGATTTAAAAACATTGGAGCATATTATTTTGTAAAAAGAATTTTAAAGTCAATGATATTTATCGAAAGTCAAAATACAAGTTTGACTAGGAAAGGGATCATTAAGGGTAGCAAAGGAATTTTAAGTAAGAGGGATTTAGAGGGGGTATATGGTGGAGTGCACCCAAAGGTAAACTCTCTCTCTCCTCTTATTTTCTTTTCTCCTTAATTTTCCCCCTTCCCCTTAATTTTAATTTATTTTATTTATTTTAATCACCACCCACAAACCACCATACGCTACTAGCCACCACCACACGCCGCCGGACCACCGCCGCAGCCACCAGCAGGCGCCGACGATAGCAGCGGCACCACCAGCAGGTGCGGCAGCAGCCGACTGTGGTGTCGGTGCTGCAGTTTTCCAAATAAAAACACTTCTTTTTATTTTTTTTAAAATTAAATCTACCCTAATTTAATTATTGTTTTTGAGTTTCGTGATGATTTTAGGATGTTTAATAATAAGTATTTTGTATATTAATTTTCAGATTTAATCCTAAATTAAAAAGCCCCAAGTTGAAAACTTAGGTTTCTAAATTAATGTATATTGTTGGAATTTGGTTGTAGGTGATTTAAATTATTGAAATAGGTGTTTTAAAACATAATTACAGCAATTTAAGATGTTTTAATAATGTTAGAATTTTTATATATAAGCTATAATTAAGTTTCTTGAAAGGATTTTTAATTACCCATTAATTGGGAATAAAAGTAAGGGTTTTAAATTAAATTTCAGATTTTTTTAGATGGTTTATGAGTGATTTAAAGAGAGTATATGTTGGTGGAAATTTGTGTGAAAGAGGTATTAATACTTCTTTGTAATTTTGGTTTGTAGGAGATTTCCAAGTGAGTGATTTTATTTATTCGTGGCGATTTTGAGATCATATTCAAGGTACGTTCTCGCTCTTGGTGATTATTTGAATATGTAGAAGCATGCTAGACTTTGTTTAATTAATTCCAAGTAGTATCATGATAGGTGTTGATTGGAATTTGTTGGTTGGATTGGTGTTGGTGAATAATTTGTGATGTGTCAATTAATTGTAGTGAATTGTTGATTGGAATTCATTATATTGACATGTTGGATATGAACCACACTTTTATTATTGGCATGTTAGAAAGCATGTTTAATTAAACTAAATGTTTAATTTTGTTGAGAATATGAAAAGGGCATTTTATTATGGTTCATATAATTTTTATTGATGCTATAAGCATGAGAAAGGAGCTATTTAAATGTCTATGTACACAAGGATTAAATTATATTTTGGTGCCCAAGTGCACTTAAGGTGTTTCTAACACCGAGGGATAGGATTTGTGGCGCATTATGCGTTTAAGGTGTCTTTGACACCGAGGTAGATTAAAAAGGGTTCACCTATAAATTTATGTGGTCACTGATTATTCAAGAATTTAAATTGGCATGTTTGAATTCTCGAATAAATTATAGTGTTTGAGAGTCATCACCAAGTCTAATAATTTGTAAATAACGTAAAGTGAAAGAGATTACGCACCAAAACTCTTGGAACGTACATACCTTGAGTATGAACGTATGGGGGGAGTTATGCGACTTTATATTTGACCATAACTTCTACTGGTGTACAGGACGCTGTATTTTCCTTTTTATTATGCGTAGGAATTCCGCCACTTACGAGTGGTTTATTTTATACTTTCACGGTTAGCTCCCATGCTAGTACCCCTTTATTGAGGCAGGTTAGGGGGAAACCCGTTCGATGCGTAATCAACCTAAATAAGTGTTGAGTGTCTTGTGTGCTTGTAAACAGGTGCAGCACGGTAAGTTGGGTGATGATAGGATGAAAGCATGTTAGTGTGTTTTTATTACGCTTATGTACTCAGCTTTGCTGATTGTGTTTTTGTATGTTTGTTTGGCCTTGTTTTTGCTTTGGCCCTACAACGACCCATTTCTAATGGCGAGTAGTGGGGACAGGTTGAGAGAAGCTTTTCTGGTGATGAAGTATATTCATGAAGGGCATGAGTGAAGAGTTAATCATGCTTAGTTCTCATAGGAATGTGATGTGTTTTATTTGCTTTAAATATTATTTAATTATATTAATCATGAGACTAATGCAAAGTTTTTTAGTATGGTTTGATTTTAAGGGCCTAGGATGGTTCCAAGTTGTAGATTGACTTTGTTTGACTTTTACTTTCGTTTGGTTTGACTTTTTTTTAAGTTGGCTTTTTTTTAATGGTTTTAAAGAAAGTCTTCCGCTGTGTGAGTCTTTGATATTTGCCTTAGTCGTTTTTATGGCGGCGGTAATGTCTTAGAGTTTCCTTCTTCGTATTTTGAAAGGGCAAAATTTGGTATTTTAAGGAAAGCAATTTCTAGGGTGTTACAAAGTGGTATCCGGGAGCTCAGGTTGAGATTTTTATTACCACTAAATCTAAAAACGTGTTTTAAAGTGTTTTGTTTTAAACTTGACCAAGTGTTTATTTAACTAAGTTATTTTACCTTATTTTAATTTTTGGAAACCGGAATATTTTTTTTTTTGTATTTTTTTGTAAAGTGGTCCGAAACTTTTTTTTTTTTATTTTGAAAATTCCGAATTTTATTTTTGTAAGGGTTTCCGATTTTTTTTTTTGGCCGAATATTTTAGGCTTTTCCCGGAAATTATTTTCAAAAATTAATTTTAAAAATAAGGAGTCAAAAATATTTTTAGTTTGTTCATTTTGCAGGAAAGCAAGGATTAAGGTAAGTATTATGTGTTAAAAGCTTTTAAAAGCATGTTGGTGAGCTTGGGTAGGAAATAATTTGGGCATATAAGTTAGAAATAATTATGTTATTGTATGCATTATATTTTAGGTTGTGATGTTTGATCATGTGGATTGATTAATTGAAAGCATGTGATTATACGATTAGAATAAGTGAAATTGTTTTATTGAACACTGAACCTAATTCATGCAAGAATTGTATTGCTTTTATTTTCTTTGGGAAGAGAATTCTTTTCAAAACCTTTTCCTTTAAAAGATGCC